ATTATAATTAGTATCATTATTATTTATTATGATTCTTATTATTTTTCTAATATTTATTATTATTATTATCATTATTTATTATTATTTTAATAAATTATACCTATTAATATAATTTTTCTGTTATTATTATTATTTACAATAAATAATATTATACTCATTTTTAATCCAACAATAAAAATGTAAATTACATATTCATCTATTAAATTTTTAATTTTTATCTATCATTAAATTTAAACCAAATATTTAAATTAATTTATTTTTAAATTAATTTTTTATAATTTTTTAGTTAAAGTTTATATATTTATCTTTTAATTATAATAATTATAAACTTTTTTTAACCTAAGGGCAAAATAGTAATCTTTCACAATTATCAATTAAAAAATTTATTTTTATCTATCACATCAATCATTTCATTCACAAACTTTCACAAACTTTCTCTACACTTTCCACTCACTTTTCCTTAATCCAAACAACCTCACTTTCCACTCACTTTCCCTTCAAATCTCTCATTTTCCACTCGTCCTTTTCCATCTTCAAATCCAAACAAAGCATAAAATTATTTTCGTAGGAATCAATTCTGTCGTAAAAACTTGCAATCATAATTTGGTTCTTTCATTTTTTTAACTTAATTCTACTTGAAGGGAATGAATTTCTATCCATTCAAATAAATATATTCTTTCGACCTGAAATGAAATTATTCATTTAAACAACACGTTTATAGAGTTGATTTTATACTTTTCCTGATTACCCTATAGATTAGTATAAAGATAGAATTGTAGTCTTACATGATAAAGGATTCAAATAATTCACATAAATATATATATATATATATATATATATATATATATATATATATTCTCGCTGCTCAACTTCATCGAATCCTTTACAAAGCTCAAAGTCGTTGTCTTCACATTAAAGCTTAATGATTGGTTTTTCGTAGAAGTAATTCCCATCATAAGTTATTATTGCCTTTATCAAAACTTTATGATTGGTCTTTCTCAGAAGTCATGCTCATGTGCTTTTTAACACACATTAAAAATTAATATATACGTGAGTTAAAAAAAATATATTAATATATACGTAGGTACATACATATATTTCAAATTATACATTATAAATTACTATTTCATATAATTTGAAAATTAGTTATAGAGACAAAATTGTTTAAAAAAAATTATGTACACGAGATATAATATATATATATATATATATATATATATATATATATTTTTTTTTTTAATCAACTAATGTTTTATTTAAGAAACAAGAAACGAGAGTACAAGAAAACTTTCACCATTACAAATTGTAAAAAACTTGAAAAATAATGGTATGGTTTATTAAGCCAATTTACAAAAGGAATGCTCCTATGACTCTCCCTGCTGACAACCACTTTCATGCTCTATATTTAGCAGATTTAACTACTTCAAGCGCATCACATACTCCATTATTAAACACTATTTTATTTCGGTATAGCCACAAATTCCACACAGTTGCAACCCAAATAGTCACAATAACACGAATAGGTTTTTTTCCAACAACAAAGTCACTCATAGTCAACAATTGGCCCTCCACAGAACTTGATAAACATGATGAAAAACCCAATTATCGACACAATAAATATCAAACTGAGCTAGCAACATCACAATTTAATATTTTCCTTTATTAATAGTATAAATAATGTAAAGTTAACTTTAACATTATGATTTAATTTCCGTATTTCAATTTAATAAATATCATATGTATTTATTAAAAGTATGAATTTCGTGTGAATTTGCATATATTAAAAATAGAATATATATATATAT